TGGATCGGATGAATTTCTGTGGACGTTCACCGCGTTTTTGGTGAACTTGTGAGGTGTTTTTTGTCATTTTTTTGATATCTAAGCTGCTGGTCGGTAGCCTCTGGTAAACGTTTACATAACGAACTGGAAAATCACCATTTTCAATGGGTAAATCACCTATTCCTATGGCCATTTTCAACATCTTTTACTGTTATTTTACTTTTTGGCTGGGTAACCTGCCTTTTCCGGTACCACATCATCCCATTCCAAAGATATCTGCCAAGATAGGCTGGACTGTGCGCTGCCAAGATCTGCCAAGCACCGCTCAATATATTTAATATGTCCGACATACTGTATACCAGTTCCATTTTGACAAACATGTCCATTGATTATACCATGCGCCCATGTCCCTTGGTAGGGCTACATGCCGCGCCGTCAAGGCTAAGAACTTGCTGATCCTTTACGATGCAGTGGGTACACTGGCGGATTCCGTAGGTGCGGTTTCTGCAATGGCTGGTCCGCTCACGGCCATTGGGCCATGGTTGATATCCAGGTAGCCATAAGTTGTATACCTAGAGCCTCCAAGGACCCTTTCAAGTGGTGTTTTACCTCATTTAAGTATACTTTTACCATCTTGTTGGGGTAGTGGGAGGATCTATGCACAGTAAGAATGACAACGACTTAAGGCAGCATGTAGGTTTCTACCTACAATTCCCTACAATTCCTAGCTGCTCACGTGTCGCCCCCCTGTAGGACCTGAGCTGGATACCCCAAGGCGCGCGTTTGGATTCGCGAGGTCGAAGATCTGCAAACGATTTGGAAAGCAGAATTCCATAGACGTTGTGGGAATTGTAATAGAAATCCTGGAGTTATAATCTATAGAAATCCATAGAACTGTTGGAATTGTTGGAATTGTGATAGAAATCTACTGCAGTTATTTGCAGTTCCAATAGGTGTGTTTCCATTGGGAGAAATACAGATTATGTGCCAAACAACGTTTTTTTAAAATTTCAGATGTGGTTCCAGAATGAGAATGTGGTCAGACTGAGCTACGTCCCAAAGTAGGACATGTCTGGTTGGTGGTTTCAAATTTATTTTATTTTCCATTTCATATATGGGAATGTCATCATCCCAACTGACAAAGTCATATTTTTCAATATAGTTATTGCACCACCAACCAGATGTTCTTTCATCGTTTCAGACTACGACTGGAGAAAACTCTCCGTAAGGCCTGGCCTCTCCGTGCCCCTCATTCTGATCTTTAGTCGACAAAATGGACATCACATTAATTACCCTAAACGTTAACAGTTTGCGAACTGGAAAATCACCATTTTTTCATGGGAAATTCGGAAAATCAACTATTTCGACTGGGCCATTTTCAATAGCTAACTTTGTATGTTTACCAGAGGGTAATAGTGGGAATTTAATCAACCAGCAAAGGTGAATCTTAAGCTTTCCCCAGCTGCTCGTAGTACGATGCTGCGCAGAAATTCCATATCCGAGCTGTGGCTTTGCCTGGCCCCCTAAGTTTTCCATGCTAGTCAATATACGGGAATTCCATGGAATTCCCATATAATATGGGTATTGTTGATCCCGATTTCCGGACACAGTGCTCCATAATCTCCATAAATTTGGGCACGGCTTTACCCTGACATGTTCCACTTCAAGTTTCAACAGGTACAAGCAGCAGCTCCTGGAGCCTCTCTTCCAGATCCTTGCTTGGTGACGGCGCCATGGGAGATGAGCACCTGATCAACTGGCAACTATTTTGGGTGCCAGAACATGCCAAAATATGCTAAACGGGTTTGGGTACTTTACTTTGGGCAGACCAAGAAGGGTTGGATGTCCAAGAAACATGTTTTTTTGCGTTTGTCGCATTTGTTTTTGTCCAACGGAAACGAGATAGATTTGCATTTGGTTGAGGGTTGGAAAGTACGTTTGTATAGAGGTATTATTTATCAAATAGTTGAAATATATTATATAATATTATATATATATACATTTTTTTTAAAAAATACAATTGTATGCATTTATTGTACATATATATATATATATTATATATATGTATAGAATTGTATAGATACTGAGATGCGTAGATGTGCATATATATATACATTCACATGTATAGACATATACATGTATAAACATAATCACATATACAATTATACAGTTTTGTGGATATGTATAATGTATATATACATATATATATATATTCATAATTATCCATATATATATATATATACATGCATATATATATATATATCAATATATGTATATATATATATCAATATGTATATATATATATATACATATATATATTTATATAAATACATATATATATATATATATAAATACATATATATATATGCATATATATATAACATATACATAGAGATATGGCTATAGATAAACAGTCGTGTATGTACATATATATATATATACACGTATGTGTGTGTAGTGTCAACGCGGCCTCAGGAAGTTCAACAATACCCCGGACAATGACAGATCAATCATTGCCCTCTTTGAGCAGCTTGGCACAGGGTTTTTCAGCGCGTTGACTGTAGGCCCTGTATTCTTTTTATGTGATTGCATGGATGGGGATGGCTGTCTTTTTTACCCTGATGGAATCATGATTTTGCAACACGGGATCAATTCGAAGAGTTATACAAGTTCTTACCAGTCGGAAAGGTGTGGGGATACCATAGTCCACCCTATGAAGTGAGGTTTGCAGAGCACAGCAACATGTTTATTTTGATGCCTGGAAGATTTCATGTTTTTCAAGTACCAGGTACAAGGTGCAGAATCTTTGCTGAACCCAGAATTTCAAGTGTTTGAACACCCTTTACTTGACGTAGCTGGATGCAGTGTCTCTTGTTTCATTATGAACCTATACAACATGCATAGTAGATACACTATACATATAGAGACACATTGGTTACTTAGTGTTTTGCAAATATCAGAATCTGGGGATTGTCTCCTGAGCGTTTCTGAAATTCTTTCACCCCTGTTGGGTTGAAAAAAATGGCGGACGTTGTTTTTTTTTGCTGCGCATTTGTTTCGCCACGCGGCGAGAAAACCGCGTGAGGTGTTTATCTTCTTTGGCCGCCAATTTGGGACCGTCTTTCGGTCCGCTTTGCAAACCGCTGGGAAACCTGGAGTTTCTTCAGGTCGTCAGGTCAGGACGCTTTAAACATTGAAATGACTGCACTCATCCGATCAGAATCCCAGTTGATCATCATTCTTAAAATGAACATCCACCAGTTGGTTAAGATATACCTCTGATTTTCAGACCGGAGTTAGTGATTGGATGCACATCCTTCCTGGAAGGCTCTTCGCTATTGTGGGATGCAATCAAGTATTGATGATACATTCCATTCAAACATATAGTACTTGAGACTTTGAGACCACCCTTTCAAAATCATTTGAATGGGAACATGTTGGTCTGGTTCGGTGGTTGATGTTCAATCATCAACGGAGGAATATCACTGCCCCAAAAAAGCTTGTGTGTAGCAAACATCGGTCAGTTGTATCTACAATATGATATATATATATTATATCATATGTATATCCATGGACAAGTGTTTGTCTGGTTCAAACTAACGTGTTTGCTTCGTTTGCTTCTTCTATTTCACATTTCTGTAGCCTACAAACCCCCATGACTTGTTGGTGTCATGCCATTTTTCTGGTTGGGACCGGTTGGTCACTCTTGTATTATATATATAATACATAATATATATATATATATATGTATACATACATATATATACATACATATACATATACATATACATATATATATAGTATATACATATATATCCATATATATATATATAGAGTACATATATATATATATATATTACACATACACGCACATGCATAGATACCGTTTGACTACGTGACTACGCGATATCCATTGCTTAATCACCTCATTCTAGAAGCTCTGCCATCCCGGGAGATCTGAATAGTTGAGTTGCTGATGCTGAAGATATGAAAAATCTTGAGAGCTCAAGTGGGAATTAGTGGGAATTTGTGAGGGTTTATTATCTGAACATATTTATTATCTTGTTCAGGGTCTTCTTTTGCATACTCCTAGTGAGTCCTTAAGTGCCATTTTCCATTTGCAACTGGGAAAAAAAACCATTGTTTTTAATAACTTGCAAAACCTGGCCACCCCCCTAGATAGGAAAGTTGTTTTATAGCAAAGCTACTTGTAACTATGGTGTATAGTAGACATATCTATAGTTTGGAATAGTTTGGATATGTTTGGATGAACATACATATATATATATATATATATATATATACATATATATATATATGTATTATACACCAAGACCTCCCCAGTACCCTTGAAAATTGTGTTTTACGCAATCATTTTAGTGCAATAGCCATTTCGGAGGATAGTTGAAAGTCTAGGTATGTAAAAAGATAGATAGATAGATAGATAGATAGATAGATAGATAGATAGATAGATAGATATATAGATAGATAGATAGATATAGATATAGATATATAGATAGGTAGATAGATAGATTGATAGATTGATAGATTGATAGATAGATATGTAGATTAATTAGATAGATATATATATATATATATAGATAGATAGATAGATATATAGGTAGATAGATAGATAAATAGATAGATAGATAGATAGATATATAGATATAGATATAGATATAGATATATAGATAGGTAGATAGATAGATTGATAGATTGATAGATAGATAGGTAGATTAATTAGATAGATATATAGATAGATAGATAGATAGATAGATAGATAGATTAATTAGATAGATAGATAGATAGGTAGGTAGGTAGGTAGATAGATAGATAGGTATATAGGTAGGTAGATATAGATAGATAGATAGATAGATAGGTAGGTAGGTAGGTAGATAGATAGATAGTTAGGTATATAGGTAGGTAGATAGATAGATAGATAGATAGATAGTATGATAGTATCACTGACGAGCCTCACATCGTAAGACGGTCCAGTGCTCCAAGCTTCATCTGACGTTTAGGTTGGTAGAGAGATGCAGTCGTCTCATCATGAACGGAGCGCAAGCGGCGCAGATGTCGCGGGCCATTATTGGAAATTCACCGGGACAACGGTGGGAATACAGAAGGACATTTACCCTCTGGTAATGTAACATAGCTATAGAAAATCACCACTTTTAATAGGTAAACCATCTATAAATGGGCCATCCTCCATAGCTATGTTTTTCTACCAGAGGGTAAGATACCTATATGGGAGCCATGTCCCAGTGAGTTCGAGTATTTATCTGTTAACGGTGATTTTCCATAGTAACTATATTGAATTACCGGCAATTACCGGGTATCTGAAAACGGAGAGTTTGACTGATCTCATCAGTCAACAAGCAGGTGTTTAACCGCGGGTGAGAGGGGATATATCCCACTATGAAACATTGCCAACAGCATGGACTGGGCATTTGCATTCTCAGATTCTACTGTTGGTTCGACTAAATACTCTACTACTTCAAGCGCACCGCCATAATCATTCCCAGACAACTCCAAGACCACACTTTTCACAAAGTTACGTACTATACGTCAAAACGTGTAGAGACAAACAATCCTTCATTGTGTTTGGAATTTGAAGCTAGATATTACTGGAACAGCACGGCAAGCCTGGAGTTTATGAACACAGTTGCCACCACAAACTTTTGCTCAAACTTGCACATCGTCATTGGTGAAGCTACACAGTTATGGCCATTTATCAGTTATAAGTCAGTTGTAAGCCCATTTATGCAATGATAACCCCATAAATATATATATATATATAACCATTCAAAACCATTTATATATTATATAACCATTTATAATGAGTAAAGGGCTTGAAATCTGCACCGATTTTTGCAGCCCTTTTTATCGAAGATGGGGTCGCCCGTGAAGGTCAAATCGATTTGGTCGCTGAGGTGGATGCAAAACCCAAACGAATTTGAGAAGCCCGACCGAGAGGCGCTGCGATAGCTGGGTGAAACGATGAGTGCTTGGTGAATTTGCTGCCTAGATAGTTAAGTTGGTGTAACTCCAATAACTATGGTTTATGGTACGCAAATCATGGGGTTTATAAACCAATTAATAACTAGGGGGCACCACATTGTGGTGAATTTGCTGCTTGATGGACGAAGATCATGATGAACATTAGTGTATATATCATGGTATTTACATGTATTTACATCCGCTTATTATGTGTAGGTATAGTATATTATATATGTATAAGACTGACTTGTATGTAGCCACGGATTTTAATGGAGAAATATGATTGATAATGATAATGATCATTTTTCAGTGAACATTAACCTATTAGAGGGTGTTGAAGGATACCCATGTTGACTTCTGTGCAATTTCCTTGGAGTTCCCTAAAGGAATTATACTTGACTTCAGTGTTGGTTTCTAAGACTGAACATTAATATAAATCGATCCCTTTTGCTTTTGCTCCAATATATATTTATATATTTACACATTGTGAATTCACTACCTGCAGAAACATCTGGTTTTGTACCTGGATCTATTCACTGTTGTCCTTGTTTTGGGGTATTCAATTTTGCGAGGTTGGGAGTGCAACAGTAAGAGATAACAACCCCCTAAAAAAACATCAATCTAGATGGGTATGTTGAGACTGAGGGATGCTGAGCCTAAGGACATTTTCATGATCCAGACTCGGATGGGATATGACATGTAATTTCTGTAGTTATAGCTTCTGGTAAACTAACGTAGCGAACCATCTTCAATAGCTGTGTTGAATTACCAGGGCCTCTGGGTAATAATGACAAACACATGCAAACAACGGATTTTTTGCCCCCCAAACATCGCTGATTTGTCCGGGATTCTTTGGTTCCCTTTGCCATAAATCAACTATACAAATCAAACCACGTAGGATTGCCACAATATGTACATCCAGTTTAGACACCATTTATACCTTTTGGTAATTTAAGATAGCGAACTGGAACATCACCATGTTAGGTACTTCATCTATAAACGTGTCATGTTCCATTCCCAAATGCTCAATGGTGCTGGAATATTTACTAACATTTACCGTAAAAATATCCCAGTCATGTAGGTAAATATACCAGCACCATGGAGCATATAATATGGGAACGGTCATGTTCCATTGCTATGTTATCAACCGGAGGCTTTTTCGTTTGGACCAACGTATCATTGATGGTCAATCTCCCGATCGCGCCGGTGAACTCGCCCTACATAATTTTGGTGTTTAAGTATTAAAGCATTTGTCGGATGGCCAGCATATTTACATCATTTTACATCCACAATAGGTAAATACAGCCTTAAATACTCATATTCAATCATATTCACATGTTTTGCTGTCATCTTCATGTCATCTTCTATATCATTTTCTCTACGTTTTTGCTGGTTTTTATGGCATCTTCACCGCATTTTCTCATAGAAAAACCACTTTCTCCATGGTGCCCGTTGTAGCTCCCCACGTCGGAGGTCATGGCTGCGAGCATCGATCTGCTCAGCGGCATCGTGGCCGGGCTGCGGGAAAATGTCAGCGAGGCGCCGTGAATGGCTGAAAAAACACACATGATATCTGGTTGGTGGTTTGGAACCATGGATTTTTATTTTCCCGTTCAGCTGGGAATTTCATGATCCCAACTGACCAACTTTTATTTTTCAGAGGGGTGGCTCAACCACCAACCATATATATGTATATATATATATATATAATGTATATTATGTGTATATATATATATATATAGTAATATTGTCTCGTATGTTATATATATATATTTACACATAAAACTATATTCCTGATAGCTTAAGGATGGTTAAGGCATATAAATAGATGGGGGTTATCTCTCTTAAAGAGTTGCTGTTTGAGAAATCCCTTATTAATATATATATATATATACATACATACATATCTATCAATGTAAATATATATATATATTGATTGGGGATGGTTTTTCACATGATATGAATACTCATTATAAGGCATTGATTATGGGTTCAGTCAGTTGTTTTAATTTATAAATGTGGTAAACCAAATGCCATACTCAACATCCCCAATGAGGTTTACGATTGGGAATGAACTCCATATGTTTATAGCCTATAGATTGGCTCATTATAAGGTATTTTTGTTCAGCCAAGGAAAGCTGGTTTATAAACCCCAGCAAATAAGTTATTTTTGTTTCTTCCATGTATAATATGGATGAAATATGATGACCTCAATGTAACGTCGCTGGAATGATGGTTTTGATTCGGGAAATCAACCCCAAATAGCATCATTTCAGCTATTTGTGATAAACCTTTTGATTTAATGATCCAATTTTTGAACTGCAGGCTTGGGTTGTTTCGTTCGGGTTGATTAGGAGTATATTTGGATCATCCCACTCAGTGTTTGTGGTTAAAATAACCTCGGTTAGTAAGTCACAAAAGTTGATTGTCCCATTTCCAAGTGGGTTATAAACCCAGTCACTAACCAGTTGCAAGCCACCATCCAAGCCCAGAAAGCTAAGAAACGTGTGGTGGGATTTGTCATCAGAAACGTTCACCGCTATCCAGCTCTGGGATGATCCTAAAATTTCGATGGCGAAACCATAGGATTTTTTCGGGCGAAAACCCAGATTTCGAGACCCTGCCAGGTGGTACCCTCCAGTGATGGAACGTTGGTTTATAATCCCCATGAATACTATAGATATAACCCCCTAATCAACCCTAGTGAAATTGGACTTATTTGCACCAAGTTAGCTAACGAACTGGGGCACCACTTTGTGGAACTCAAAGCAAGCCAAAAGTTGCCCATGGCAAGTCCCCTCGCTTCGATGCCGCTTCCCCCAACTGCTGCTGTCGCTGAGCTCATGGTGGCCAATGAGTTCCACCCATGTCATCGATTTACCATCCCGGCTGAATGCCAACATATTACCATACTGTTACCACATGTTTTTGCCATACGTATATTCTCACAATGTGGTGCCCGTCCCAGTGATGTTTTTTTTGGGGGTTTATAAACACATGACATCTAACTAGTTCGATATATCATTAATACTAGTGGAGTTAGATCTTCAATATATCTAGATTCCAATTATAGGTATTTACCATATAACATTGCCAAACTGTCAATACCATCTAATGTTATATGGTATATATATATACATGTGTTATATGGTAAACATGGTAAATATACCATTTAATATATGTCAATACCATTCAACATATTTCAACATCATATAATGTGGGGAAAAATATTGCCAGACGTGAGCTGATGAATATAATTGTTGATTTACCATATATTACCCTTGAAAATGACCCACTTAGTTCGTTGATTTACCCATTAAAAAATGGTGATTTTCCATAGTTATGTCAACGTTTACCAGAGGGTAGATATATCCATCAACATCTAGACTGTCAAAATATAGTACTGTCAAATAATGATATTAGATATTTTATTAGAAAATGATTATTAGAATATACCTTCTAGTCTAAATATGGTAAATATGGTAAATATAAATAATATATATATATATGTTTTATGGTTTTTCATGGTAAACATGATAAATACCATTTGATATATGTCAATACCATTTAACGTAGATTTACCATATATTAGATAATCCCAGACTGTCAAAATCCTACCATCCTGAGATTTCCCCCAGGTCTTGCAGCAACAGAACTTCCTCTCTGTGGTGCCGGAGGTCCTGAAAGACACGGCCCTACAGGCGGCGACGTGGTCGTCACCAATGGCGTTCTCGAAATGGGACGAGAAATGCTGGTCGAACCAACAAAAATTGGTGATTTAGTGCTTTAGTGGGACATGGCATGCCATATGGAGGTATGTTTTCCTTGGCTATGCCGAAAAGGGAAACCAAGTCAAAACAATGGAGATTTAACAAACAAATATGTTGGTTTAACCATGGTTTAAGCAACAAACATTGGTGATTCTGTGTGATCCAACATTGAACCAACATTGATTTCTAGTCAATTCAGCAAAAAAAATGGATTGGGCTCGGTACCTCCTATATCTAAAATGGATGATTGGGGGTACCCCCATGGATTGGAAACCTCCATAAATCAAACTACTGGGATGGAATTATAAACTCACCTATCACTGGGGGGTGCAACTGAAAAAAAGTAGCAATCAGGGGACACACACACACACACGCACATGATTCGAAATTGTGTTTTGTGTGTTCACGGTTCACGCAATGAATTGCTTGGAAAATTGCAAGATATTGGCCCGGTTTGGTTTTTGTTTGATTGCCAAATGTCAGACCCGCTGTTGCTACAAGATTTGGCTGGATGTCCGTGATTCAAGACAAATATCCCTGTTTTTGTTGGTTCTTTTCTTGTGATTCTTAACAATATTGGGATGTTCAGAAACCTTCATTTAACATCTGTTGTAATATTAACATAGCCATGGAAAATTACCCAAATATGCAGACAATTTACCTATATTATCCTCTTAAACATGGCCAGTTTCTAGCGGTATGTTGGATTTCCAGCGAAAGTCTTTCGCAACTGGGATGGGATATATCATCCAATGATACGAGGTTGGAACCCCATGATTACTATAGTTGTACCTCTCATAAACCATAGAACTCACCGAGTTTTCAAGCCGCTTAGCTATGGCATTTATGGAGGCCCCACATGGTTTTTTTCAGGGGGCCCCCATCACCTTTCAGCTGATCATCGGAGGTAAAGCAGAGCGCTTTTGCGCTGGCGGGAGATTCAGCGAAGCATTGCATTCAGCAACTGAGCTGCGAAAAAAAAAAAACGTGGGTCCCCAGCGGTTGCCCTCTTTTCGTTGCGTTGGCTTGTAAAAACCATCTCACTACGAGAATATCACTAGAGAAGCCATCGTTATTCTGTAATCCAACTAGAGGCCAACTTTGGTTGATCACCTTCCGGGCGTTTTGGAACTGTACATCTGGACTGGTTGCGTCTGAAAATTCAGGGCAGAACGGCAGAACTCCAAAATTCATGCATTAAGTTCTTCCTAATATTCTATCATTAAACATCTTGAGAAAATAATTTTGGGATATATCCGCTATACCTCGAAAAAACCTATTTTCAGACACTCGACTGGAGAACATCGATTCCATGTAACTTGGTGTGATGCACAAGACAAGGCCCTGGGATGAATTCCATGCGGTCAAGATTGACCTGCATGAAGTCATCATGGGATCATGGGTGGTAAATGTTGCCGACACCGACGAAGATTACGTCTTTTTGACGGAACATGTGGGATATCGCCTTATCAACAATTTAAATTATGTAAATATGTTTTTCCATAAACCATCCAGCTATTGGGGTAGCGCCATTCAATGGAAACCCCCATGTGGGAGTTGGTTGTTTATGCTAAGGTTTCAGCTACAAAGAGTGCTGTAGGCGATTGAATCAACGAAAATCGGAGCTTATGAAGCTAAGAGGCTAGGAGCAACCTTGGTGCACTGACAAAGACCGAGCACCAACGACCTCAACACCAATGTTTTTTAGTTATTTATTTATGGGGATACCCCAAAATGGATGGTTTATAAATGTTGTTATATAATGGAAAATCTAATTAACATATGCATGGATGATTTGTGGGTACCCCCATGACTTAGGAAACCTCCAAATGATTGCTACCAAAGGCATCATCGCACTATGGCTAACCTCAGTTTGGTGAATGATTCTGATTTGCCCAGAGGTGTAGCCTTTTTGGGGTTGTTTGGCCTCTAGAAGTTGTTTGGCCATTTATGCCATAAGCGGACTTCAGATGTTTCACCAAGCATTACAGACTTTACCAAGACTAGTGACTAGGAGCTCAAGCCTCATCTTGTTAAGTTGCAAAGAGGTCACCACAATATCACTAGAAATGATGGTTTGTAAGGGCAACTATCCCGAAATGATCCCAAATGTCACCTTATTTCAGGTTGACGAATGAACAACATTTATCCATGATCCATCGTCAACTTGAAAAATACCCAGTAAACGAACTGGCTCATTACCCCGGCAAAACAACTTATAGATGAGTATGATTTTCGAACCCAGGGTTGTTTGATCGCTTACTGGGATGCGCATCCTCATGGTTGAGCGGAATCAAAAAACATCAGCGCTGTCAATAAAGTACAGTGTTTCTATTTCCGTATTTGCCTTTGTTGGATAAGAAGTCTCCTTCACCACAGTAGAGGTGTCACAGTCCATATCCTGCATGTCTCTATATTGTCTTTGTCTGGACATGTGGCTTCTTTGATGCGGAACAGGTGGCTCGGGATATTATGTTTTTGGGCAAGCTCGCTGCACACTAATTTTGAGTTGAACGGCCAATTCTCCCAGGTATTTGGCACCGTTTTTGCCACAGTTATTGCCCCAATGTTTGGCACTCAGTTGGGAAGTACAACGACCTCACTGGGGGGTCCTGTGCATTCCAGTTGCTACTTGGAAGATATCCCCTATGATCAAACCACCCCGTCTGCAGTTTTCAGTTGGGTATAGATCTACCATCAACCATATGTAGATATAATCCAGCAGATTCGAACTTGGGGGCCCCACAGACACATATCGGAAGAAATGCTTAGTAGCCATCGTTGTAACTTGTGCATGGTATAGCCGTTAGTAATCCTCGGTGGGTCAACTGGATTTTGCTGGGAGGATAGCCCTGCAGTCCATTCATATCCCCGCAAAAAAGCGTAGAATTGGATGATGGGAAAATTTGCAGGAAACCCCTATATTTGACATTATTTGATGGTAAAAACATGTAAAAACCATGGTTTCCTGTAGATTTTCCCAACAACACCAATCTGCCAATCCGAAAAAAAACGGTCAATGCCACCGATTTCCCAGGTGCAAAGGCTCTTCGGGAGAATAGCTCCGCGACGGTCCGGACGCCAGGAGATACCGAGGGATGTGAAACGGGTCTGGCAGGAAACCCATGGAGGTTTCCTGCAAAATCTACAGGAAATATCAGGAAAGATATGGACATTATATACACCCTATATAAATATAACTATCCACTGATGATTTGAGTTTACGACAGTATCTTGGTTGTTCATCTTGATATCCACGGATTGAATATGCACAGATGCTTCGAGTTTGCTTCTGTTTCGGTATGGTTCACCACAGCTGGAAAAACCTCTCTCAGTTGCCGCAAAAGAATGTCTACAAGGTGGTGCCCCAGTTCGTTAGCTAACTTGGTTTATAAGTCCAATAACTAGGGTTTATGGGGGTTATATCTATAGTTAATGGGGATTATAAACCAACAAACATAACTGGGGGTACCACCTTGTAACCATGTCTTGACATGGACACAAAAACCAGCGAAAAGTATATTCAAAACCCAATCGAAATGCCGGCTGTATGGCCTCCTTAGGGCCCGAGTCATCATTGGCAGCCGAGGTCAGCAATAATGCGTCTTGGGCCGTCGGTGAGATTTGCATCAAGGCGCAGGGCCAAAACCAGGGTGTTCTTCGTTTGTTCGAGGGGCTCTCAGAATAGGTACAGTAGGGTTTAGGAGTAAGTTGGGTTTAGGTGGTCAGGATATATGATGATATATGATGATATATGATGATATATGATGATATATGATGATATATGATGATATATGATGATATATAATGATATATGTATCGTTTTGGAAACCACAACTCCAAGGGCTAGTAGATGCACATTGACTACCTGTAATCCTACAATGTGTTGCCTAAACAACATGTTGAACCATGTAAATCCACTTGTAGATTTGATGTCCAAAGTGACCCGTGACACGGGTCGTGGACGAGTACTTAGGATCCCACAACTGCCAATCCCACAATTGGTTCATCGGATGTCAGGAACCCTGCAATATCTGGCCGGTAAATCAGCCATATGACTTCCTGTAGATTCTTCTGTTTTGTTTACCAAATGATCCCGGCCAGGTTGTTTCTTTTCCATTCTTTTCCCACACTCCACGGCTGTAACTTGGCGTTCAGGTGGGTAGTGACTTTATGTCCAAGTATTTGGATGAGATCGTCGATGCGTTGGTGTCGACCTTGAGGTCATGGGCCATGGCACAGCATGGCACACGGTCAACCCTTTTCGAAGCCGTTGAAGTTGATTCACCCTGGTTGATGAATTGGTTGGTTTCCCTTCAACAGTGATATCTTTATATTTTTATATCGATTTATCTATCTATCTACCTACCTATCTATCTATCTAGCTATCTATCTATCTATATTATATTATATTATATTGTATTGTATTATATTAGATTACATCACATTACATTATATTATATTATATTATATGATATTATATTATATTATATATAGATATGGATGATATATATATATATATTGTATTATAGTTTTAGATATACACATATAACTCATATAATTTACTGCGCCCCCCCCCCGTACTACAGCCCAAGGGGTTCTTAGTCGAGGGTCGACTTTAATCAACTAGTGGGCAAGCTCAATTGATCTACCACAGATGAGCCAATTTACAAACAAACCAAGACCCTTCCTCAACCATGGATTTGGATTTGGACATTTTTTGCATATTGGAAATAGCAAGTGTGGCTTTCAATGCAACATTGAAGACCCTAATTTGCTCAGCCAGGAGCCATAGAGAAACAAACATCATCAACATCAGAATCCATAGTTTCCATGTTTTTAATGTTTGCACGTGCCGTAGGCCTTTGAAATCTTTGGCACCATTATTTTAGCCACCAACATTCGTGGTGTTTGGCTGGATGTTCACCGAACAAATCCCTGAGAAGCCATACTAGTTCAAAGTTGGTTTATAAAGCCCCCTAACTTTGCTAGTTTGATATATCCACCATAAACTCACTCAAATATGAGTGAAACAAGGTGCCCCCCGAGTTTTAAACCCAATGAACATAACTACCTCCATATATCATGATGTATCTAGCATAAACCCAGGATAAAGCCATGATATTCCCATTAAATATCCCATTGATAATGTAGGTAAATCAGCAAAGTCAACGGGCCGACTTGGATGATCATCCCAATTAGTTACCCAATAATGACCGTGGTGAACGTAAGTAAGTCTTCATTCAGTGGACTATCCCATATAGATGTGTCATATATATGACCCTCTGGTTAGAACTAACAGTTTGCCATGGAAAGATCCACCCATTTTTAAGTTCGGTAAGCCATCTATTTCTATGGGCCATGGCTTCCATGGCTATGTTAGTCATAACCAGAGGGTATATTAGTCTTAATCATTGTTATTACATGTTATTACTATTATTCGTATTTTTCTTATTCTTATTATTCATTACTTGTTATTATTATTACTATTGTTATTAATGCCAAGTCAGGATTAATCAACATCCCGTTATTAATCAACCTCCTCCTCCCCCCAAAAAAAATGCAATTTAAAAACAGGTGGTCCCCCAGGATTAATAAACACCCCCGATTAAAAAACCTCCAGTGCTGAAATCCATTTTTTATCCAACATTTTTGATTTCCAATTCTATTTATTTCCATTTTTTTTACATTTTGTTTCTATCATGATTGTTATACTTAAGGTTTAAGTTGATCATTGAAAATTTCAAAAAACAACTATTCCCCAAATGATCGATTTTGAATTAAAATCTTTATGAAAATCATCAGTTTGGATAGCTCCCAAAGGGTACCCCCCATGAGCCCGTCCCCCATTAATAATAACCAGGGTTTGCCCCTGATTAATCAACCACCTTTCTGATCCATGAGATTTTAACAAATCCAATGGAATTCTATTAAGATCTAATTGACGCAAGCCATATCCAAAGTTTTATGGTTCAGAGTTGCTTCTTATTAAGGGGTGGTCAAGAAAACCAGTCAGAAGGTACCCCCCTACCTTCTGGGGGGGGGTTATTAATCCGGTGTTGGCATTATATCATATATTGATCCGGATTTTCTTCCATGATTTTTAATGGATATATATATATATATATACCAGATTAATGGATTAATGGACTATAATTAATACCCCAGATTTGTGTTTCAACCCCACATGCTAACTAACACTTACTACTGGTTTAGTGAGATGATCCTCGACATAATTTCCAGGTAGCAACGCTAGCGCCAGGTCGGCACAACCGAGTCACAGACAGGCGCTGCTGATGTCCCTTGGCGGAGAAATCATCCCCGCTTAGCTCCAACCGTACTTTCTGGGAACAAAGGGAAGATAGTTATTTAACCAAGAAAATGTGGATTTAATGATATATATATAATATATAATGTATGATAAATAATATTTATTATATAGTGTATATATATATAATATATAATTATTTAATATTTAATATATATATAAGATATAATATAATATAATTATTATATATATATATATTATACATAATATATATATAAATTTAGTTATTTATCGATAGATAGATAGATAGCTAGCTAGATAGATAGATATATGCAGCTGATTTATGCTAGCTAAGTGGTTAGAAACTGGGCTTAGTTCACCCATTTATGAGACAATCCACCAATCGGGGCCTAGTTTTGATCTGTGGGATGGTCCTCCACTTATGTCCCCAAATCCCACCGGTTGATTCCCACTGGTTGATGAAACAAGAGGGTCGGCCCCCCGAAAAAACAAAAAAAAACAGTGATAGGATAGCTGGATGATAAAGAAATACACCAATAGCTAGGTAAATGATCTATCTGGATGGTTGCCTGGAGTTTCCTCCAATGTGTAGGCCAATAGCTAGATGAAGAAATACACCAAGCGTGATGGCCTGGAATGTTGTTCCTAGGGTCGATCCCCTTTGTACCTCGGGTGTTGGGAGCATCCCAAAAGAAGTTTTACTGGAATTTATGGATTCAAAGTTGGTTTATGTCTAATCTAACTTCTAGGCTATAGAATCCACCATTAAATCCATTCAGTGACGTAGTTATCAAATTTGGGCCCCGGAAACACATCAGTGCACTGAGGCAGAACGTTTGCATCACGTTGGGACGTCTGGGTGTTGTCGGCCCCTCAGCCATTTCGTGTTGCCAAAGAATTCATGAATTCGGAGACCGCCTAGACGACAATTTTCAATGCACTTTCTGTTCGCATGCGAACCTGGTACACCGCGGTCAGTGTAGACTGAGTAGATTGTACCAGTGCATGTATGTGCCGCTGAATTTCGGATATGTACCTACTGTATCATCTTTGAAGGGTGTTTGAGATCACCGTATATATATATATATATATACAGTACTCGTTTCTGGATCTAACTGGATCGTGAGAAGCCAAAATGCCAGGTGTTTCAGGGGCTTCCAACCATCATCTCCAACCGGTGAACGATTGCTACTGTGGGGAAAAATGTATGGTTTTACCACAAAAAAAATAGGGAATTGTCAACGTATCTGGGCTTAGCTGGAGCCACCAGCTGTGTTTTACCCTCTGGTAAACGGACTTACATAACTGTGGAAAGATCCACCATGCTATGTAGCTGGGTAAATCCACTATAAATGGCAATTTTCAATAGCTATTTTGACATAACCAGAGGGTATAATTATTCCATTAAGTGGATTATAATCCCATTAAATCCACTATTTCGACTGGGCCATGGCTTCAATCGCAAACTGTGAATGTCATTACCGGAGGGTACCGTTTGGGGATCGGGGGGATCCTACTGACATCCCAAGGCTGGGAGATGTTAGGAGGACCGTGATGTCTGATGAAGCAAAATGGTGAAGTAGTACTTGAATGGACCATAATTTGATTTGTACATGATTCATTTTTTTGTTTGGGGGTTTATGTTGTTTTCTTGTTCATGTGCTATGAGTATCCATGAGGACATCCGGCTGTTCCAGCTGTCCTGAGGTGTGTGGACAGCAGATGGGCAAGAAATTTGGGGACTTTGCCCAAGTTTGGTGCATCATCATGAAGGACGTGTAGTATCCATTGGTCCTGTGTCTCTTATCCGGTGCGAGGAAGGTTTTCCATGAACAGAGGTTAGTGAAGACTGAATGTAACAAGCCTTGGACGAAGATGAACATGTTTACATCAAGAGCAAGTGTTGAAGATTCGGCATGAAAGCATGCTGACATGTTATTCATTTATCTTTATTTATGTTATTTGCTTTTGGTTGATGGCAATATAACCTATCTTTATATATAGGGTGTACTACTAGGCAGCATGGGATTGTTGTGATTTATTCTTGAGTCCATCTTATCCAAAAGGTATAGAAAGGGTTAGGACGTGTGTCAGTGCGTTGAATTGTCCAGCCTTTGTGGCAAGCAGATAGCCTTCTCAGGTTAGCTCCATACTGGCAAGGACCTCCTGTTCTTGTTTATAGTCTAATTAAATCTAATCGATATATTGGTGATTAGTGGTGATCAATGGTGATTAATGATTAATGGTGATCAATGGTGATCAATGGTGATCAATGGTGATCAACGGTGATCAATGGTGATTAATGGTGATTAATGGGACAATATAGTAGCATGATGGGTATATTAGTATTATTCTTCTTCGTATTATTATCTTTTAATATACATACATGATGTAATGGATGATCTGGGTAAAGATAACAACTTCACTGTGACCGTTCACCTTATTTCAGGTCAGTGCCAGAAACCATTCCCAAGTCATCACCTTTGTCATAAGTGCTATAAGCCATCCCCAAATGCTACGAGAGTAGCTGGCTATTTTCTTTGCGGAAACCCCACATTGAGCTAGAAAAAGACCTGGTGAAAAAACATCCCCATCTCTGTTATCGAACATACTTACCACTGTGAATACCACTATTTCTAACTTGTGAAAAACATCTCCATCAACACTATATTTACCATATTCTACAACTGACTTGGATCGAGTCATAGTCCCACCAAGCCCCATCGCGGTTTCCCGCCACTGCCGCCCCGTTCGGCTCAGCGTGGAACACGCAGAGCCAAGCCAGCCGAGCACTGCACAGCGAAAGCAATGAGTTCATGTTGACGGTGACTGCATATTTAATCCTCTACACATGGTGTCACTTGTTGATTAGATGGTCAGTGGCCTATGGGCCCATTTTGTAGATACTTTGTGGCACATAGACGAATTATATCACATATTTCGTAGCAACAAAGTGTTTTCTTGAAGTGTTTGGGTTGGGTTCATTTTTGACCTGCGACCGTCGGGTCAACATAGCAGCGATTAGCGAGTCATGTCGTACGAATGGAGCTATGCCCCCACAAATCGCGCGAAGTGCAAGGTTGGTTTTGGCTCGTTTCAGGATTTCCAAAGAGTGCTCATTTCACATCCCAAAACGGTGGTGTGCCAGTTCCTTTGCACTCTATGTCATGCATGCTGTAACAGTTACACTATGACATGTTGTGGTCAGTGGTTTCTGGTCGATGTTTTACATCATGTTTTTGGGTGATGATGCCCAATGACTAAACAATTAAGAGGGCGTTCTCAGATGGGTGGAAAAATGTGGAAACCATCAGATGAAGTGTTTGGAAATGTTGATGAAGGAAAGAGGGTCACTCATCCCAATTCCCTAGGAAAGAAATACCGGGACTGGAGCTGGTCGGAGCAATCAACCATCTAAGTATATCTATGATATATTTTGCGATGACCTGTGGGCCACTTATTGGAAGAATGTAACCGAAGACCGGTGGGATGCAGTGGGATCTGGAAAGATTCACCGTGCATGGGGCTACCCCGGGTATGCTCAGATTGGTGCTGCAGCGTTCGGGCAACGGGGCAACGGAGCGCATAGCCAGGACTAGCTAATTTGGTGGATAGTTGTTTTTTTTTTTGACCACGCTACATGGAGGTTTCCCAAGTCATGGGGGTACCCCATAATTTTCCAGTTGATTTCGGATTTTCCATGAAATAAACCATCCAGGTAATCATTGGGTACCCCCATTCATGGCAACCCCCGTATTTCATAGTTTGGACATGAAATACTTGGTGAACGACCTGTGGCTGGAAGATTTTCCTGGCTTTGGATGCCAAAAAAAAAGATTACCCACACTTTGCAGAGGCTATTCATCCCAACTTCTCACATATGACTGAGATATTTGTTTGCAAGATCCGTAATGATCTCCGGAGGTTTTCAATGATTTAGGGTCAATAAGTCTTTGAGTCGTGGGGCAGGATCATCATAGGATTGTTAACATACACATCATACGACAAGAGGTGATTGCGAAGATGTCCTCAATGTCTATGACAATGTCACCCTGCGTTTACTGTATACATGTTGGGATTTCATGTGTTTGTTACACGATGTTAAATCCCAACTTGTTGTGCTATATTAATAGATGTATCAATTCTTGTTGGTCAATCTGACCAGCTAACTAACTAGAGTGTATTAATTTGGACCAAATTAACGTTACCATACATTAGCAATCGTACTCCTGAAAACTACAGAGTTCATGATTTCATGCCTCACTTTTCAGGCTGCCCTGCCCAAGAATCTGATGCCTCAACCAGATCCATTGGGAATATCTTAGACCTTTAGGCCTACTTGACATGAACGGGCATTTGAATCATATGGAAGTTTCCTAAAATGGTGGGACCCCAAAATCATCCGGCATTGGTTCTTATCAATATATTCAATATCAAGAACTAATGTTTTGAGGTGCTCATGTTTAAGGAAACCTCCTTATGAATCGTATGAATATGCCAATATGCTCAACATGAACAGATATTTAAGTCATTTTTCTATCCGTCCAGTTGGATAGCTTTGGACTTTTCGTTTCGTTTGTTCGAAAACGGTGTCGGAATCTCGAGCGCCGCCAGGGGAAGTGTGGCGAGAAGATCGAGAAAGGCGCCATTCGCCTTGCGACCAGCGCTGAAGTGGCGGACTATTCCATTGTTTGGAGACTCGTGAAGCGGTCGCGGGGCTACACCAAAAAAATTGGTGTAGCCGCTTGGGGACTTCCATGGATGTAGGTGATGTAAAATTATATAGAATTATATATATATGTCATTGTTGGATCTTCTTGGGTCATTAGAGAAGTAATATATATATATACATGTATGATGTTTTCTGTTGAGCAGATACTAAAATGCCATGGTGTGAAAAACCAGTCTTTTGCTACAGATTGTTACCCAGGAATCGGGGACTTGACTTCCACCCCATCAAAACACGGTGGGACTTCCATCGTCATGATGAGTTAATTTTATCATACGGGCTGGTGAAAAAAGATTGGGTGGTTCGGTGTGTGTATATCATGTATATGTGATAATTGTATATATCCAAATGTATAAGTGATATGCATATTTTATATGTGATATATGCATATATATATATATGTATATGTATATGTATATAATCAAGTTACAATCCAAAAAATAATGTTGACATGTTTTTTAGATGATAATATATTACAATGTAATTGCAACAGTAAATGTTACATCCTGTAATCATATGACATGATAAATGTATTGTATGTGTACATATGTGTATATATATATTTACCATCACACATGTTTTGGACGTGTATATGCATACAATATACATATATACTACACACACAAGTATACATATATTCTACATATACATACCTATATATATATATACATCTATATAATATACATATATATATATATATAATATACATATATATATATAATATACATATATATATATATATATAATATACATATATATTCCCCACCTGCCAGGTGAGGGTTGTTAGATTTTATCAGACGAGTTGTTCTCCTCCTCGGCTAGCTATCCTCCTGCTCCTCCTCCGCCAGCATCTCCTCGACCACCTCTGCCTCCACTTCCACGTCCACTGTTGCCTTGCCAACTTCGCCAAGCTCTTTGCCAACGCCTTCCCAGCTCAGTGGGCACCGCTGGACCTCAACCTGGGACCTTCCCAGCTCAGTGGGCACCGCTGGACCTCAACCTGGGACCTGCCCAGCTCAGTGTGCACCGCTGGACCTCAACCCAGTGTGCACCGCTGGACCTCAACCTGGGACCTGCCCAGCTCAGTGTGCACCGCTGGACCTCAACCTGGGACCTTCCCAGCTCAGTGGGCACCGCTGGACCTCAACCTGGGACCTTCCCAGCTCAGTGAGCACCGCTGGACCTCAACCTGGGACCTGCCCAGCTCAGTGTGCACCGCTGGACCTCAACCCAGTGTGCACCGCTGGACCTCAACCTGGGACCTGCCCAGCTCAGTGTGCACCGCTGGACCTCAACGGCCAGATAGAATGCCAGAAGATATGCCAGATAGAATGTCAGATAGAATGCCAGAAGATAAGCCAGATAAAATGCCAGAAGATATGCCAGATAGAATGCCAGATGGAATGCCAGAAGATATGCCAGGTAGAATGCCAGAAGCTATGCCAGATAGAATGCCAGATAGAATGCCAGAAGATATGTCAGATATAATGCCAGAAGATTTGCCAGTAACAAAATGTATAAATGCCATGTTGGGGATAACACGAAGTAAAGTAATTTTTATATCTGACACACATGGAAACACAAGTAGTGACTCTGTATTCATCATCTCGGCCAGAGTGATGCGGTGCAAGGTCGGCACCCCGCTAGGTGCAGGCCAGGGATGAACAAAATGGGACCATGGTGGCAACCTCCATAAGTTACTCATGGGCTAGAGATAGAACCCATGTATAGAACCCATGTATATATATATGAGTTAATACATACTGATTATATCATGTTATATCCACTTAGAACCCCAACTGCACCCCCACTGGATCTTCTTCCACTTCTCAATTCCCTTTGATCCTTTGTACGATGACGCCGTTGCTTTCTGAGGCAAGTTACCGATGCTTGAAGTGCGTGACGGACAAGCAGTTTCACAACATGGTCACCAAGGCTGCGTCCAGTGGGGATGTCAGAACCAAGGTTTACCTTCAGGTGTGTCTACAGGTGTGTCGACATGCAGTGCAAATAGGTGGAAAACATGCATTGACTGCATTTGTCG